GTTCCAGGTATGGCAGCTAGTGTAGAACCTTCAGGCAGACTACTTAAATTAGACAATGACTAAAGTTGTACAAGTGGTTAGTTATACACTCTTCCTATGGTTGCCCCCTGTAGTTGTAATGCAACTATTAGCCAAATATACTATCAATAAAATCCTGGGTCACAAGTACTCATCTTAATATTAAAAAAAAAAATATTTTTTTATAACTTTAACTGTAATATCTTCAAAAAATAAGTGAAAATAAATCTAACATTACTGCTAGTATTTCTTAACAATCCTCTATCAAAAAATTATGTACTTGTTGCGATAACCATAAAAAAAAAAGAAAATTTTTATAAAGTTGGTAACTTAAATGAATCTGGTACCTGTAATTAGTGTTCTGAAAGATGTAAGAATAAGAGAAAAGAAACAAACTCAATTTTTTTAAAAAAAAACAAAATTGTAAGACAGTACAAATACAACTTCAAGCAGCAGCATAATACTTTTATCTTTCATATAGACAGTAGCAGCAATGCTTTCATCTTTCAAATAAATACTTTACAAACAGATAGTAACAGTATCAACAGTATTATTTTTATTTCACAAATAGATAATAGTAGTAATGTTTTTACTTTACAGATAGATAGTAGTAACAACACTTTCTTTTCTCAAGTAGATAGTAGCATTGAAGAAATTGACCTGTTTTCTGAACAAAAAGATATATTAAAAGATAATACAAATAAAAATTTTAATAATAAATATTATGGAAATAATGATAGCCCTCTATATGGTCTAGATGAAGTTCAGAAAATTATAACAAAAAAATTTCAAAAAGCAGAAAGTAATAGTAAAAATGTAAACTTTGATCTTGAAATTGAATTGAACCAACAGCTCTTTGAAAATATTTCATGCAGTTAAAAGAATATTTATTTGGGATTATTTGATTTTGAAAAAATAAAGGATGAATTTTACCAACTTATAAAAATTCTTATTTTAGTACTTAAATCCAGATCTGGATACTATTGAGAAATTCGATGTCTATATCTAAATACTAGAAAAAAAAAATTTAATGCTACATAACAACATATTTTGGATGTATACAAAAAGCTAATCATCAATAGAAAAGACCTGAACATCAGCCAATAAAACAACAAAGCGAAATTAGAGTTACAATAGATAGATATGCATGTATAGAAAATATTATACTAACAATTAACCTATAGTAGCAGTGTGCTTTTATTCAATGTCAGCATTTAGAAGCTCATTTACACCCTCAATATCACAAAATAGAATTTCTATTAAAAGCTAAAGAATGGATTCAAAAAAATATTAAATATCATATATGAAATTCTGAGCTTTACAAATATCTCAAGGATGAAATGCTTATTGATTCAAAGGTTTATACTAATGAACAAGTATATTACTGGATATTGGTTTATAGTAGAAAAACATATATTATGAATTCAGGCAATCAAGTTTTATTAGCAAAATTATATCTCGAGCAGCCAAAGTTTATAACAAAAGGATTTAAAATACTTAATTTTATTGAAAATGATTTTGTAAAAGCACTCAGCTTTACAACACCACTACTAAGCTATATTGGTGCTACAAATATAACAGAGATAGTCATCAATTCCACATTCAAAACAAATAAAGAGCAGTTTGAGCTTTTCACTGTAAATACAAATTATGATGGTTATGAATTGCCTTTGGCATATTTGTACCTTTTAACACTTAATAGCAATAAGGAAGCACTTGATAATCCTAAAAACAAAATTAAAACTTGCGTACAGGTTCTGTGTAATTTTTTTTTTTGTCTCCAAAAATTGAACTTATTACCAGTTTTTGTTCTTATTGATAAAAATGCTGGAAAGATTGCTGCCATAAATGAAGCATGGTCATGAACTGCAAATCTTTAGCTATGTTACTGGCACTTAGAACATGTTATTAAAAAATAATTAAATAAAAAGTCAAAATTCAGTAAATATACTAAAGTATAAGCTTTAGAGGCACAAAAAAAATTTAAATTTATTGATCCAATGTGAATATCAAGTGACATTGCTAAAAAAAATTTAAATTTATTGATCCAATGTAAATATCAAGTGACATTGCTAAAAAATTTTGTCCAGACGATTGTATAAAGCAGCTTGTAGATATGATAAAAATGCATGCAAATATGCATTCACTTATACCTATAGTCAAAGATACTTTTTTAACCTCTAGTGAAATCTACTATGCTTGTACAAAAAAGATTTATCAATTTTGTTATAGTCATAAGCTTGTCAAATTATGAGAGTACCTTTGGAATAACTGGTATAATGAAAAAGACTGAAAGCTTTTTGTACAATCAGGATTTTCTGCTACAATTCTATTAGCAAGAATAACTATGATTGTTGAAAGCCATTGGCATGTACTGAAATATAAGTACAAATATAATTATAACAGACCATGTTTAGATAGACTTACACA